GGCCAAGAACCAGTAGTCTGTCAGCGGCAAGTTCAGGAAGGATGTGATACTCAAACATGCGAATCGCCAGGCATTTACAGACTTCGCACAAGCCCGGAACCACACTCCTTTAGACTTCCAAACATGTCTCATAGTGCTTGTCATGTTAATATTATGCTTCATGCATGATTGCTAAGAATGCCCGCCGCTCCCCATTAAAAGTGTTATACTTCTCATAAGGATTTCATGAATGCCGCAATCGGTAAGCCAGTATGAAGCTTCTGTTAGACTCAGGCTCGGATACAAAGGCCGTTAATGCAGAGGGGGAAACACCCCTTTACTCGGCCGCGAGGCGAGGAGCCGGCCGTGCGATTTTGCAACTTCTCCTTGAGGCAGGAGCGGATATCGAAGCGAGAACGACAACCGGGGAGACGCCTCTTCATACCGATGATCACGATGATGTCGCCATCGCTACATATGGGGGGGCCATCACCTGCTCAAATTCAGAACCCTCATGCATGACGGGACATGAGGTATAAAATGCTGCACAAATCAGGCACGCTATGCTGTAATTAATCAGAAAATCGTGAACCCTCCGACGTGTAATGTATGGTGCAAGATATTTCCCACGAAAAGGTATCCGCTAATATATGACTATTATAACATACAGTGCGATAGCTCGATACTTGATCTAGTTTACTCTTTCCTCTCACCATATCTCCTGTAAATAACGGGCCTGAAAGCCGCCTCCTCATGTGCCACCTGCACGAAACCAACCGTCTCTCAGAATCTCGCTTGCAGGCGCCCTCCTACTCGGTTCAAAATACAAAAGCCTTGCAATGAGCCCACCGAGGACCCCTATATCCTCCTTTGTCAAGTCGCTCTTGCGCTCATTGTCAAAGTACGTCTCCTCTAACCAACTCTGTAGCGATGATCCAGCCGTGTTCGTCTCAGAGCCCTCCTTTATCAAACCTCTCCAGCGCTCGGGTAGCTCATCACCTGCCGTTTCCCTCATCTGTTCCACCAAGACCTCCGGCGTGCTGGGCGGTCCATCAAAAGGAGATTGGCCAACAAAAAGCTCAAAAAGCTGGTACAGTCGTCAGCAGTTTATTCACGACGTTATAATGACACGGTTTCCAACTCACCATGCAGCCCATACTCCATAAATCAACGCGAAAATCTAGCGGATCGCTAAACAAGACTTCTGGTGGACGAACTGCCAACGGGGTGCGCAGAGTCCGTGGCGCGAACGCCGGAAGAAAAGACTGGCCAAAATCGACAATTTTAATACCCCTCAAGGACTTGAGAGGTATCTTTGAATATGTGGCAGACTGGACAATGTACTGCGGCATGCCGGGTTCAACAGGTTGGCCGCCTACCTTCTGAACAAGCCCGACTTTTGGCTTGCCAAGCATGTCAATGAAAACTTCTTCTGACATGTCGTCCACGGGAAATGGCAGTATGACAGACAAATTTCGGACATGGAGATCTAATTAATGGTGATTATTAACCTTGTTTGAAATGCAAATGATACCGATGCAACTTACCTCCATGGGCAATGCCTTGTTCATGTAGTATTTTTAGACCGCGTAGAGATTGTTCCGCAATGGTCTTGGCGAGATGCCCAGGAAGCCTGCCATCTGGATACCGCGATTCAATAACATCAGGGACGCAGGGTCCTAGCAGCTCGAGAACGAGACATTTATGCTTCCCGTTAGGACCTTCAACGTCGAATTCATCGAGCATCCCCATGAGATGAGAATTCTTTTTGAGTGATGCTAGTGTCTTCATGGCGCGATATTCTTGATTGTGTTCATCGTTTCTTCGCTCAGATATTGAGATTTTGATGGCGACATAGCTATTCGCTCTAACCGCAGAATGAGTGACAGATTCCGTGAGAACCATTACACCAGGCGGGACATGTTACCTGCGATCCCTTGCTGCCCATACCGTCGAATAACCCCCCCATCCTAATTTGTGTAGTATCTTATATCTTCCGCTATGCAAGAGGGTTCCAAGTTGGACAGGGTGATAGCCTCCCCATTTGTAGCGATGGAGAGGCTCGGCGTCAATCGTGGATGCAAATGTGTCCGTTTTCAGAGGCATCGACCGTCGTGAAACCACCCTCGCGTGTGCTGACAAACATGGGATGTTCCGAGCACTTGTTGAACGTCTCAACATCCTCTGGCGTCGCCGTTTGAAGTAGCAATGTGAAGGCAGGGAGCATATCCTATTGGCTCAAGTAGAGGGCCAGTTATCAGGTATCGGGCAACAAATCCTGTCCAATCACGTGTATGCGTCAAGCAAATACCAAAACAGGCTAGTATCAGATGAGTACTCCGTAGTATCGACGACCTAGTACAATCATTTTATCTACAACCACAGGCGTTCAGGCACTCAATTTCACCGTGTTCGGGCCAGTTTAGTACAGATAGTTTGTGCACTATCCGGCCGGAAAGAGTATCGGTGTTATTTGCCATCGAACTGAGCAGATTCTGTGATTTGTAGGTTTGCGTCCTGCCCCAGTGTACATCTGCATGCAGCCCATCAACCGCAAGAACTCGGGTCATCATCAGCTGTGTACGCTCAGTTATCGTGGATTTCCGAAATTGAGTACATAGTAGTGCTGCCTCTGAGTCTCGACAGCATTTGACTCTGATGGCTCTGAGGATGACTTTGATGGTGTTGTTGCACCGACGAAAAGCATTATCCAGTTTTGTGTCTTTGAGTCTCCAGGTCAGTAGCCCTATGAACAGAACGGTGGATAATGACATGAATTAGGCGCAACATAATAGCGAGCATCCTGTGGCTTTCGTATGTTAACAGAATTAAAAAATAGACCGTATTTCACGTTATTTGCAACGGGCACTGCTTGCAGGCGCCGAAAATGCACCTCTTGTCCGGTCGCGTGATGCGATTTTCGCCGTTGCGCCCAGTCGACTTTGAGATACGGAGTAGCAACAATTGAACCTCTATTGAATCGAGATATGCAATGGCACTGGCAGCAATGTTTCGAGTGGCCAACATTTAAATGGTCACGTAGCGTTGGCGGCGCTTTGGGGGCGGGGGATCCTTGCCATTGAAACATCATACCCCTGAAACTAAAAGGCTTATTTTTGCTGCAAGGTTACATTTTCTACTTTTGGGCTTCGAGCCGTCTTGGAAGGCCGTTGTTATAACTCTGCCTACATGCATGAATTCGCGTAGAAGGGTGCTGTGTAAGTCGGGTCGCATATACTCAAAGGGAACATCAACAGCGGTACCCAAATAGTTACAAGTTGAAACAGAGAGGATGGTTTCGCCGGATATCGCTTAGGGCTCGAGAATCATATCACGATGAAACAGGCTGAACTCTTCTAGGGCTTGGAACTTCCTAATGGGGTAGCAGTCAGCGGCACAAGCGCATGCATACTGTACAGACCGCGGAAAGATAAAGGGAACAGATATTGAGGCTTAAGCCGACTGTAACGTTAAATCTGATAGCGATCGTGGGTTACCAACGGCGCGAGAAACAAGCCTCAAGCCCGATGCATGGTTGGCCGTAACAGTCAGGTTGGCTTTCTTTGCCCCGTAAGCTAACAAGGCGATAACCAGCGACAAGTTGCGGAGTGTCAGTTGGGTCTTGGCGGTGCTCAAACACTGATTAATCGCTTGTTTGGGGCCCCATGGAGGTGTGGGAGCCATGACATGAGGAGCCAAGAGCCCGAGACACGCAGTGGCGCTTGCTTGCGCATTCAGCAGCTCCACCATGGGTGAGACTCGATGAGAGCATTGTCGCAGATGCCGTTGGGAGCATGAGACGGGTTGGTTGCCATCTCAACACGGTTGGTGACCAAATGACTAGTAGACTAATTTTGGACCATGCTGGCTTCTTTTCGAATCATGGCTCGAGAAGGGCCGGGCGCCATTTCGACACATTTGGCAGCTAGCGAGATGCTCCCGACCATGATTTGTTCGCGGAGGCTTGCAGAGGCTTGCAGAGGCTCGGGCAGATGAAGAACCGACAATGGATGCAACATTGGAGCGGAGCCAGCCACGGTGAACTTTTTAGGCTGTTCTAGTACTCGGTTCTCGTGGCTGGCGTTACCGTACCCAACGACCTCTGTGCCCGGACTCCCCGCAAGCCTCGCGTGCCACAGATTGTTTGTGCTCGCAGCCGCTCACGAGGCCAATGTCCTACATGTACTCCGTATTGATTCGACACTGACAGGTGATGGATGCGAGCAGTTCGTGGTGGCCCTTGGCGTGTCGCGGCTCAGCCCGAGCATATTCGCAGGGCCCGATGAGGCGTACAGTACGGAGTACGGGGAGTATGGCTGATGAGAGACCACTTTGCCAGAGTCGTTCGGCGTGTCCTGCTGCCATCGTACGGCACTCGCTCCAGGTGGCGTTACAAAACTCGTGATTGTCTGGCTGTGTAGTTGTTCATACGGGGAAGGACCCATTTTCCTTGGCATGGTCCCATCATACCCCGGACCCAGTTGCTTCTGGCGGCCGAAGGGACTGGATGGAATGAATGGACGCATGGACGGTTGGGGCGCTGTTGGCTTGCCTCTTGGGTTTGTGTGATGTGGCAGGTTTGGCTTGTGCCTTTTCTGCCATGCGCGGGATGTTGTAGAGCGGAGTGCTGTCGCACAATGCTGTCATGGTCATGGCATGCATGGGTCCCGACGCTCCTTCCTCTTGGCCAATGCTTTACGGGGGTACTCCATACTTGGTAGTACCAGTTGACTCCATACCGGGTCTCCTTTTAATTTATTCCATTAATTTATTTATCAAGGCCAGCCCCCCGACCTGATCTCGTGTGTCGAGGGATCGTGCCTGTTCACAGCAGCTTCACTTTGCACTCACTACAGGTCCATGACGGTTCCGCGGCAATTCTGATCTGATCGCATCTGGTCTGTGGCGTGGGCCTTCTGAAGCTTTCAAGCTTCATTATTCGGTGATTTTCCTTCTGTTTGCAGATCAACTGCCCCTTGACAGCTTCTCCAACACGGCAAAAACCCTGTCACCAGTTCACAATGGTCAATCTCGCCACTCTCCAGGTCGGCGGCCTGCGCTGTAAGTAGATGACGACAGGAACTTGTCCAGGCATTCGTCGAGCATCCAACTCGAGGACATGCGACAGCTTTGCGCTGGACAATTGGTGGATAAGAGAGCCGCGTTCTTGACTAACGTTGAATGGCGCGCAGACAACTCCCCATGGACCCAGGTGTCCATTGTAGGCTTTGTAGCCTTTTGCTCTGTTGGCATGTTCAGCGCAATTAGCAACCTGGGTGCTGGTGGAACCCAAGATGTCCAACTCAGCGATATCGCCAACAGTGTCTTGTACGGCATGTTCTTCCTGGGTGGCTTCTTTGGTGGAAGTATCAACGTACGCGAGCCTTAATTCTCTCCTTGTGCCAGCCGAGCCTCCTGGCAGCTTTATTTGCTCACATGAGTCACATTAGAATATTCTCGGACCTCGATTGACCATGTCCATTGGTACTACAGGCTACGCCTTGTATCTCGGCTCGCTGTGGTGCTTCCAACTCAATGGCACGCGATGGTTTCTCATCCTCGCTGGAGGTATATTGGGCGTCTCGGCCGCTCTCTTCTGGGCAGCTCAAGGTGCCATCATGATGTCGTACCCTCTCGAAAAGGACAAGGGGCGAGCCTTTACCATCTTCTGGTCGCTTTTCCAAACGGGAACCCTGATTGGAGCCGCCATCGCCCTCGGAATCGAATTCAATAGCACCATGCCTGGTGTTTCTAATGGAGTCTATGTCGCCTTTATGATCATCATGTTGACTGCCATCGCCACCAGCTGGCTGGTCCTGCCCCCTCAGGCGGTTGTCCGAGGCGATGGCACCATTGTGCGGATCGCAGCCTCTCTCACACCCAAGCAGGAATTTATGGAGTTTCTTCGCATGTTCAAGGACTGGCGCATGATTGCCCTCTTCCCCATGTTCTTCTCTTCCAACTACTTCTACGCATACCAGGGGGCCATTACCGCTTTTCTGTTTAATGGCCGCACACGTGCCTTGGTTGCCCTCCTAACCGGTCTCGGATCCATCATCGGCTCGATCATCATCGGCTTTGTTACCGACAACCTGCCTTTCAACCGACGGAAGCGTGCTCTCTGGTCTTGTGCCTTTGTCACATTGTTGATCTGCCTTGTGTGGGCTTCGGGTGTAGCTTTCCAAACCAGATTTGTCCGAAAACAGGTGTTTGTTGACGACGAAAAAGTTCCCTGGGATTGGACCGTGGGAGTGGCTGCCGGTCCCATTGTTTTGCTGTTTGGCTGTAAGATTTCACCTTGACGCAAGTACAAGCTTGGTTAACTGACTGCAACGCTAGACTATGTCGTCGATGCTGCCTACCAAGGCTTGGCATACTATACCATGTCGTCCATCAGTAACGATCCTTTCAAGCTTGCTCGTATGGCTGGATACTACAAGGGAATCCAGTCCGCCGGCGCCGCCGTCTCGTTCGGGATGGATGCCGTCATGGTATGCACATGAATGATTATCACACCAAAGTCGTCAAGTGCTGACATGCGTTTACAGACCCCATATCTTGGTGAAGTTCTCGTCTCGTGGCTCCTGACCATGGTTGCTCTCCCGCTTTGCGCATTGGTTCTGTACCATGTGCCTGACAGCAATTACGACATCGAGGGAGTTGCTCACATCGAAGACGTTGACGCCAAGGACGCTGAAGGAATCTCTGCGCCGCCGGATCACCAGCGCAAGGATAGTACTAGTGCATGAGATCCTACTTGTCGACATGTGTAAGTGCAATACGGAATGATGAGCGACTTGAGTTTCGAAAGGCGTTAGGGATACTTTGTCGTTTGAATAAACACCAGGATACACTAGAAATGCATTCGCTGGGCATTCGATAGCTCTCCATAATCTTGGAATTAATTTATTGCGGTAGTCATCGGCATCTTTCCCTTGAAGCCTTTTAGCTGAAACTGCAAATTGGACGTCATCTCTTTGAACGTTAACCGAGGTAAATCTTGCACGGAATCCAAACCGACTATATCCTTACCAACCGCACTTCGTATAAAGGCCGGTTTGAGCGCCTGGTGTAACCGGCGAGACATACTTCCAGCCGACGATCGCCGACGATCACCAGCGACGTAAATCGAGCCGTAGTCAGTGTCCAGTAGCTAGTAGATGGTAGACTGCAAGTCAATCATCACATGCCCTTCTGTCAAAGTCGAACACGAAATATGCAGTAGCGAGCAGAAAGAGGGACGGGTCTTGGAACTCGCGCATTTCACACCTGACCGGCTGGTATAAAGACGACGATTCATTGACTCTTGCGTGTCCCGCTCGGCCGTGTACTGACAAGGTACTCCCAAGCAAATTATCGCTTGTGCTGTTGCAGCAGAGCAGGCCGAGATATGCACTGACGTTCGTTGCATACGCCTAGTTCTGTCGGCTGCTTGAGCCGTTCGAAGTACAGTGAGCCCGGAATCGGGCTTTGTTTCTGCGTCATGTATACGTCTTCGTTTTATAAAATTCCCGACGATTGCATAATCCCCATCGGTAAAAGCAGAAACGAGGTTCGACTCTAGTGTCAACTCAAAAAGATACATGGTACAGTATATATGTTGGTCTATTATATCATACAGTATCTCCATTTGACGGCTTAAATATATCCAATACCGCCGCCGTGGTCCAAATCGCTCAGCCGTCCCGCATAGCCATCATACAGATAGTCATTATAGTATTTCAATAAGCGTTGCAAAGCGCTTCCTTGGGTACCCCCGGACGTCACGCTAGGCACCGATGTTGTTGCCAGTCAGGAAGAAATCCAAGTCGGCTCCCCCGCCGTTAAAACGTTGCTCATCTTCTGCAAGTTGCTCCAATAGGCTGAGAAAGGGGTCTTTTTCGTCGCTGTGTCCCGTCCCTGTGCTTCCGCTAGAACTCTTGGTTCCGGGGCTTGGTGCCACGCCACTTGTGGGAATATTCATCTTGTTGTGCTGCTGACCATCTTCGCCCTGCCAACCAGCAGCGCTGCTGAATGTGTTTGTCGGTAGTGCTCCAAACATAGCATCGAAATTTGTATTGCCGTCGTTCACATTGTTCTGACTATTCATGACATTGGAACCCATGGCATAACCGTACGCTGGGCTGAATCTTGTCCCGCTCATAGGCACTATGCCCTGGCCAGAATTGTTTGCCGAGTTATCTGGCGGCATGGTATACCCATGAATGGTTTGCGCTGCATCGAATAGAGTGCCACTAGATTTTATGTGTGCATCCGGTGGCCTGGACACTTGTTGCTGCATGTGCCCATTAGAAACATGGGACGGGAGTTGTGTCATATGTATCGAGTATGGCACGTTGCCTGCTCCCGTCGGTTGGCTCATTGCTGCAACCTGGTCGTACCCGGCATTGGTTCCTTCGTCATTCCCTTTCTTGGTTGATAGAGTGTTTTTGCGTTTATGGCTATATCGTTCAGTTTCGCGGGCTACTGGTGACTCGCTGCATCGATCGGCGGTAAAATCTATAACAATATCCGACATGCTTAGGTGTGCTGGGTCAAACCGATACGATTTTCCTCCTGGCCCTCCAATGTTGGAATATCTTTCGAAAAATTCCTCAAGGTGAAACCCTGGAGTATAACGCATAGAGCTGGCTACCATAGCCTTGACCAGCTCTCCATGAGCACTGTAAATCTCTTGCAATGTATCGCTCTGGTGTCGAATATTGGCCCATGCGAAGTGTAGATCGCTAAGGTGTTTCATCTCCCGAGAAAGCAAGTTCGACGATGCGCTAAAGACGTTCACGTCTCCCCCGTAGGCACTAGGGTTGGAGTAGTGAGCTCCGTGTATATGCACTGTTGCCGCAGTACAAATACAATAGCCAACAATTGCTGGCCATTCTACAGTACCTGCATGCCTCGCTGCGTCTATCAGTTCACCAATAGCGTTCGCATGCAAAAAGCACATGTTGGTCGCCTCGATCTGCCAAGACTGATGTTGCCCATTGCCAGCCAGCTCTGCTAGGTCAACTGGGAGGAACGGCCGGTACACTAGACAATGTATCAGATGATATATCAGCTTGCTCAAAAACCCTATTGAGGCTTCTGTTTGATGAAAGAGCGCTTGAAGGCCGGAGAACACAGGGCCAGCGCCGGATGCCCAAAAGTCAAGCTCTTGACGAATTTTTGACAGAGTCGATAATGAATGCCAGGGGAAGTGAGGGTCGCCTTTTACACCCCCAGCAGCTAAATATCTGTTTGTAATGCCAAGGATACGCGTGATGTCAATGAGCAATCCAGTACTACCTTGTGACTTCTTTCCGCTGCCTTGGTAATATTGGAGGTTAGAACCCTGTTGGAAAAACTCCCCGTCGACTGCCAGGGATGAAGGGCTAGGACACCACGATGGTAGCCGCAGAGCCACTGAGTTGTCACTGATTAAAGATGGTCGCCTCGATCCGCAGGACGCGTAGCGATCCAATAAGTAGCAGGTCCAGAAAAGTCGTCGGCGTAACTCACGTTCGACTGGTGTAACGTGCGCGTGGGCATCGATTTCACGATGAAGCTCCAGTGCCATGGCCATGGCGATTGCCGATGCTGAGTTTGCATTAGTCGAGACCGCTAGTTTGAGCAAAAAAAAGACAGTTGAATGACCTACACATCAACATGTAGGCCTTCTTGCTGTGGCCAGATGCCATGAATGCCAGAACCAAGAGTAATGACGCCTGCAAGCAATCTATTGATAGATCATCTGTGTCAATACATCGCCTTGCCCGCTGTGCATAGTCTTGGCTTAATTGAAGAGCGGCCTGGGTCCCTCCGGGATGCGGAGTGTGCCTGGACCAACAGTCAGCAATGAAGATTTCAAAATCGCCATCTCGAATTCTAGCTACTTGCCTTGATGCTACAGCCCAGATAGCGAACGCGACGCTATCCGGCAACTGGTTCGACTGTATCCGATGGCGGACGGATGCTTCATCCAGGATGTAATATGGCTTGCCGTGGAATCGTGCGAAGTAGGTGTGAAGATAGGCGTCTGTTTCCACCGGAGAGGCAGGATTGTCACTATGAGGATATAAGCTCGAAGTATTCGGAGAGCAACGACTATTGATGTCCCACCTGGCGGTCGGTTCATGGTCCGTGACGGTCTTGAGGCCATCTTCATCGGAAGATTTGCTTGCCTCGGTTGCAAGTCTCTTCGGGGCCGGCTCCGCAAAGTCAGTGTCCTCCTCTTCCTCAACTTCCACAGGCGCAGATTCCCCAACTTTGGACGTGTCTCCCTCGGAATTCTTCTCCTTCAGCTTCGCCTCCAGTCCATCGACCCGTTTCAGCAAAGCTTCAAGCACGTCTGTTTTCGGCCCACGCTTCTTGGGGACAGCATCTGTAGCAGAAATAGTGAGCAAACAGGTTTTGTTCAAAGATGCACTTTTGGTGGTCCACTCTTGAGCCAGAGGCTATCAAGAAAACTGGCGGCTTTCAATGAGATGAGTGGTGACATACCATAAATGCATGGACACTGGAAGACCTGGCATGCTTCGCACGACGGTCGCATACGGTTGCATTTAATCTGGTGACACCGCAGTCAACAAACATTGATCAGTAGCATGGATTCGTCGGAGCCAGACGTCGAGTTTGAGTTGTGAAGTGTAAAAAGAACATCGCACCTTTCGCTTTCGGCAGGACTTGCAGTTCATCGACTCGCGTGGCTCGTTGCCTTGTCGCCTTGTTGGAAGACGCTCAATGCTAACCTGCTGTCTGGGGATAGCAATAGGAGCACCAGAATTGGCCGCTGGCAACGGGAGTGAAGATGAATTCATTGCATCACACAAGGAGGCAGCGAAGATGGCCGCCCCGCGTATCGGCTGTCGTCGTGGTGTTGATCGCCTCGTGGGTGGAGCGCTCTGGATCGATGGCAAACAAATACAAACAGGCTTGGGCGCGAGAGGGTCGGACTCGTAAGGCGAGCTCGGGTTCCTTGAGGGATTGCGCCGTGAAGGAATCCGCTGCAACTGGTGGTGAGGAAGATTTGCGCGCTCGACTTGAGGTCGATGGTTTCTGCGGTTGGTCACCCCTCAAGTGCAACGGGGACGGTCAAGGCCAAGCTGAGCTTGGAGCAACAACAGCGCAATCGGCGCCGCGGAGGATAATATGGGGTCACAGTGGCTGTGGTGGCCAGATTGGAGTTACGATGCTAGTCGAACATATATGTTGTGTTTGTTGTACAGGAAAAGCCCAGCGGACCGGTGACGAGGCGCCAGAGTGAGATTGGAAGGATACCCTGCCTTGCTTCGGCGCTGGCGCCGGTCGTGCCACAATTGAGAGGGCTCACGATGCCCGTCAGCCTTGATTGTGCTGTCCGGCAGATTGCGACAAGATGTGGCATCGGACGAGCCGACTGACTGTGTTTGACGGTTCGTTTTGTTCTGCAGCAGACAACCAAGGTACCAAGGAAGGTGGAGGTGAAGACGGGGGTGCGGGACAGGGTTCAATGTCTGGTGCGAATGTTGGGGTTCGAGGCCAAGAAGCCGGTTTAGCTTGGAGGGTCTGGGGAGTAAAACAGTCTGGTAGAATAGGGAAGTGCATGGACAGTCAAAAAATCGACAAGACTGGTCCTTTTCTCCATACAATACTTTCCAATTCCAATGCTGCATGCCCATCGATGTCAGAGGAAAGTATCCAGGTACCTGCTGGGTACTCCGTAGTCGGCTGACATGCCCAGTGCCCGTCATCACCACCACATGCCTCTAACGACAGCCGTGACGCCGGTACTTGCGTTTCCAAACTTAAAGTGATTACTGCCGACCATCAGTCAGCTACCAAGATTCCTACAAGTACTTAGGTACCGACAAAGTCAAGGCCCAATAGAGCACTGCCTTGGCTGCCGCCGTATCTAATACCCAGGTACCTGGGTTTGAGGTACGGAGTACTACTACTCAAGTGATGTCCAAGTGTGCACTTGTACGGAGTAGGTACCTCCAATTCTCCATCTCCCGCTCCCTTTTCAACCTAGCCGCAGCGTGAGAAGAGAAAAGGAGGAAAGAGCCACAAGGCATCTACCTCTTTCTGGGTTTCCACGCACTCGACTTGGCATCGGGATTCGGGAAGGAAGGTGCCATGCCGGGCCCCTCTGACTTCAACCTCTGTCCTCCATCATGGTCAGCAAATTGATGACACGAACAAACACATCGGAATCAGACATGGCCAATATCCACACACCACAACCCGCGGCCGGGCCGTTTGTGACCCCAAAACCGACACCCTTAGATCCCTCAAGGGAAACCGACCTATTGCAATGAGACAAAACCATATGCATCCTGCACTCACAGATTCAATGCCATTCAATGGCTCCCCTCAAGACTCAGCCTAGCACCAACACTTGCGTCTTCCACGTGCCATGCCTGTTGATCTTTTCCTTGGAATGCCCTGGCCAGGGCCCTCCACAGATCCCATTCGTCTAGCGTTTTTTTTGTCGCATCAGGGTGCAACGAGATCATCGTCAAATCTAGCTGGTGTCTTGCGTCTGTACATCTCCTATTGGGCAATGTCCGAACATTGAATGGACAGAGTCGAGCACGGGCACACTCATAGCACCAACTCTTGCGGAAAGTCAACCTCTGCCCTCATCCGAACTGGCCTACCACGACTGCTAGACAGCCACACAACTAGAACAGGTCAAGCACTAGTAGCACCTTGGATGCGCCGGAAACTGGGCTTTTTCTGCGGCAGATCGAATTATGTGGAGAGGGAGACGCGGATAGGGGGACGTCTGCCGCCGTCGACAAATTAGTGGGGGTCTTACTGAAGGAAAGAGCCCCGGCCAGTCATGTGAGACCATGGCCGGAACGCTTCCACATGCTTTTTTGTCCAGCCGTCTTGAAAAACACCGACTCTGGGCTCCTTGTCACCAAAGCAAAGTTTTAATAAGCATCAACAAAGCCGCATTTTCATCATGGATGACATCTTGTTGCATCAAAAATTGCCTCTTGTAAGCTGCTGACGCAGCAATTTCGTCGAGTGAGAATGAGATTCGGTCTTACCTCGCAGGACCAAGAGGCACATGGCCACAAAAAAAGCTTGCGTACTTACGGAGCCGCCTCCCACGAGCCACATGCAGGCACAAACATAAGCCCCAGCCTGCTGACAGAGTGGCCACCGCTGCACGTTCCCAGGGTCAGTGAACAGTTCTGGTTCGTCAAGCGACGGGATACAAAGCTCACGGACAACCACTCTCCACCGACACCAGGAATTTCGGACACAGCTTACGGAGTACCGTGACCCCACCAGTATCTGCGAGCGAATTATTCAAACATGTATCGCGCTCAGCTCGGTGGGCTTGCTGAAGAATCGTCAGACGCGAGATGCAGCTGCAAGGGCCACATGCGGGCCCAGCGCCAGGTCGCATGGCAAGTCAGCGCGGGCAGGGAAAATAGTATTAATAAGAATAGGTCAACGTCGTCCAAGGGCCTGCCGAGTCCTCTTCCGGGAGATTGGTGGCAGTCCTTCTTGTCTCGCCCTGTCCCGAACCTCCAATCCCCTACCCCGGGACTCTGTACGGTGTGACCATCCGCGGAGACCAGGGCTGGTGGCGGCCAACCCTGACATGTCTACCGGCTGTCAGGCAGCTGCAGGTAGCAGGGTTGAACGACCAGGACTCACCGACATCGAGTGAATAGCAGCTGCATTTGGCAAAAGGTCCTTCTTTCATCAGTCAACTCCAACACTCAAGGCTCAGAATTGGTCACTGGCGGATCGATTAGTTGATCCTGAAATCGCCTGCCTCCCAACTTGGCATCGAGAGCCCATCTCTGCAGGGTTGCTGGTTGGTAATAAACCGTCAAGCTCAGTCTCTTGCCCATCCTGGAAACATAACTTACCTAGTTCAAAGGCATATTCCCCAAACTCCGCAAATCTTGCAACACATTGCATACCTACCTAGGTAGGTAGTTTATTTACTACCTAGTGCCGGCGCAGGATATACAATTGGCCAACACCAAACTTGGTTAGGAATAAGGCTTCGTGCTCAAGGACATGGAAATAGTATTCATCTCGTACTTCCCCATCGCATTTATACCCTTTCGTGTGTTTCAACTACACCGTCTCCGAAAATCCGCCTACCATCCAAGAAACAAGTCTCCCGCCTGGTTTAGAAGAAACCCCTCCAAAATAGTTCACATCTGTGGATAACCAAAGACAAAAATCCCACCACCCTCCCCCGTTCCGCTTGGGAACTGCCAGACAAAAGCGCCCTTCGTGAACATGGTCCCTGTCCCGCTGCGACCCTCCGTCGCCTAGTAGTCGGTCCGTAAAACTCCACTTTTGTCAGATCTTGAAAGGTCAACTGCACCCTCAATATAACACGCTAGCCAAAATTTCAAGCACCAGCAAGGAGACAAGCGCTTCTCTAAGGAACCAAACTGTATGGTTTCGGTCCCAATAAGCAAAACGCACCAAAATAGCAATTCAACCCGAGGACCATATGTAGAGGGTCGCACAGCTAAGGATGTAGGTCGATGCACACCCCCGCGAGACTCGGCATCTCAGGTATACTATATTGGTCCTGGCTCTCTTTCTATAGGTCGACGTTCTTTGTAAGCCAATGCAGAGCTCATGACATCCACAACTCGCCACTCACTATTCTAGGTCATGTAGGGGTGTGTGTATGTCAGCAAAAGCGCTATCAGAATTCAACGACTGAAGCAGGTGACAAATCATCCTCTCATACGATCCAATACAACAAAAGAAGTGTCGCAGACGAAGATAATTCCACGTGCCGGCTGATATTCTCGGCTTTTGATCAACCTCATGTGCCTCCGGTAATGAGAACGTTGAAACAAACTATCAAAAGGGATGATGTCTGCCACTTGCCAGTCTCACGAAGCTATATGGCACATTTTGACCAACGAGCAATCTTAAACTTTCAACAATGGTGAATGCCGCCACATCTGCAGCACCATAAGACGCAAATCCGCTCTTTTCTGCCGTCTCGTGAGGGTCGTTTGTCTTGCGAGCTGCCACGTCGGCCAGGTTCAGAAAGACCTTGTTGACGTTTGGCGCACCGTCTCGGCCAGCAGCGGCAAACGCACGAAGCATCATGCTCACGAGATTTCCCTTGTCCGAGCCCAGAGCTGAGACGATTACGAACGGAGCCCGGTCGTCTGCCACGGATCTCGCACGCTGAAGGCTCTCCAAACTAATGAACTGCTCAATCGGAGGAGCATGGCGAGCGAGGGCAGCAGGGGTCCGGAAGCCAACGGTGTAGATCTTGGCAATCTTCAACGCTTTCAACGCATAAAATACCGGGGCGGCGTCATCAGAAGAAGACGCAAGAACAACAGCTGATCTGTCAAAATAAGCTGAGGGGGCAAGATCTCTTATAAGAGTATGCATAATGCCTCTCCAGCCAGCATTGTCAAAAATGAGCGACGAGGTGGTTGTTGCTGATCCAGTTTGCGCATGTGACACCGCCGAGCCTTGTCCACTATGAGGACTGGATGGCATGGATGGTGGTGTCGGCGTGGCGGAGGAGCCAGATCTGGCAACGATGGTGTCAGCGATTCCAATTGCCCGAGCTGCTTCGGTGAGCGTCGGTCCTTGGCCGTTATTCAGCCTAGCAAAGAATTTGTTATGCTTGGATAATGTCTGGACAGAGATGCCAGGATCAAGATATGCGCCTCCAAAGTCTCTCTGGTTACACCAGGCTTCCATGCCGGCAAAGTTGTTGGGCTGTCGTTCAATAATGCTGAACCGATGAGGTAGACCCAATTCATTGAAGCACTTCTCATAAAACGGTGCCTGCGGAACAGCGCTTCGGTTCAAGGAAGAGCTGACCCCGTATATATTCTTCATCGGCAATTGTCCCAGTTGACATAATGCTCGGTGAATTTCAGAAGTGCTCATTTGACCTGGGGCTGCAATTAGGGGAAGAAGAGGATGTGTGATGGGTGTGAAGACTTTGTTTTGGGTTCTAGAAAACTGGCCCGTCCCTCCCATATTTACAGCAGAGAGAGGTGGTGCATTGGGATATTCCGATCGTATCTTGGAGCGAAAATATTCCAATTCGAAATTCTCATTATGCTCGTTGATAATGGCAATCATCTTGACAATATCTGCATAAGGACAAGACCGTTGAAAAACGTCCAGTGCGTACTGCGACGGCCACTTGAAAGTCCCCGAGAAGTCGTGAAATGCCGACATGATGCGTGAGTTCCCTTTCCGCTGCCACAAATCCCGACGAATATCCTCCGGAAGCCACAGCTCAATATCGATATACTCGATTCCCCATTGGATAGCTTTGTACAGGTACCGATGGTAGAGTGATGGGTCATGCATCGGGAACCTGCCATTTTCGTTGGTACAACGAGTTGTAAAGATGATGGGTAACTCTGTCCGCTCCCGTAGCAGCATAACTTGTTCTCCAACATAACCTAGGCTAGGGACCTCGGCGAAACCGCCATTTGGAAGAGGTTCGCGGAGGAGGTCAACCCGGATTTCAATAGCGTCAGATCCCACGGTGAGGATATCGAGGTTGGGCAAAGCAGCACGAACGTCGGGGAATGTGGTCGACATGAACAAAGTCCTCGGCTTAGCCATGAGCTCTTCGTGATGGCTAATCTGACCCAGGGTGAAGGAGATGAACCGAGACAGGTAGCGCCGGAAGTACGGCGATTCCATGTATAAAAACTCATAATCGCAATGCGTCGACAGCTGCTCATCAGGGGGCATTCCTAGAGTTACGCAGTGAGTATTGACGGCAACCAACAACTCCTTGTTTCGGTCTGCAATGTCCCGTTTGGCGTCCATTGCCGAAATGCCCACCACAAATCCGTGGTCGTCCCTTGTCACGTTCTTGAACGAGCTTCCTAACTTGAAAGGTTTACTGAGTACCTCCGCGACGGTGGACACAACTCGTTCCTGGCCTTGTCCAAAAATAATAACAGCAATTCTCTTGTCTCCCTCTTCCGGCGCCCCTCGCAAGGAGCGGCCATGGAGCATAACGGGACTTTGGCTGACTCTATCTGTAGTCATGGTATCTGTTTCTCCATTGAATCCAGTTGGAGGAAGCGCCGGGCTTGGCGATGGACTTGCCAATAGTTGTTGTACAGCGGCCATGGTTCCTGCAACTCGAGAATACACGAGCTGGAAGGCCCTAACTCAGCTGGGGAGTAGTAATCAGATCCTGCAACTAGGACAAATCAAATCAATACCATCGACCGCTCATCTAAGGAAGCTGTCCCATCACCGTGTTTAGTGCCTAGCAGTGACGAAATAAATAATGAGCGTCTGATGGGACCGAATACGGCGCAGCCTATCCCGAATGTTGATAAATTGAATCCCAGAAGGCACAACGGTGTTTCGGTTCCTATGCTGGTTTATTATGCCTATTGGATGGAAGACTATTGATCAACGGGCGAAAGTGGCTGGATTTTGGAAATGTTGGTTGGATGAGGATAGCCACTTGCCGCAAGAAGCAGACCCGAGTAGTGTAAGCGGGCGAGGGTATCAAGTAGATCGAGCCGGACAATATTTCCGGGCTTTCTGTCACCTTGTACCAGTTCGACGTTTCTACTAGAAGCCTTTGTTCTCAGTAGTCGGAAGAAACGAGAGATGGCTGAGACGAGGACAAAAGACTTGGTGAGAGGTGAAGAAACGAACTCAGTCAGCAATCAAGTCGTGTAAGTCTTTAGCGCACAAGCCTCGGATTCGTCTATCAGTCGGGATGGATTAAAAGTGTCGTTGTCGCAACTAGACAGAAATCTCAGTCCTGAGGAGCAAATGGAGAAATGCTGAGGCTGTTCTAGAGGCTGTATCGTCCTGGCCTCTGGTTGGTGGAAGCTGCCAGCAACAAGACGGGGTACCGCTCCGGCAAGTAACTATTTCGTCCCGCCACCAAAAGTACGATTCCGTGTTATCAAAACCGGGGTAGTTCTTGTAGAATGGAAGAAAAGACAGGGTGGGAGTCGAAAATAGGCGCTGTCGCCAGTGGAGAGGTGGAACAGCGGTGTATTACAGCCGACAGACTCGCAGATGGGCAAGCAATTCTTTTGATCGGCCAAGGGAGAGAGACGAGGCTTCGTTATGATCCGCTTGTCGCGTGTAGACGGCGCCGGGCCAGAAACGAGGTGCCCAAAGGAGGTAAATGCCAATGAGCAGATGTATTCGACGGGCTAATTCAGATGTGTCTGCGACATGCAAGCAACAATGGCGTCTAGACATGGAAGTGTTGTCAAGTTGGTGTTGCCTGCCCTCTGCGATGACTCGGGGGGGAGGCATGTGACGGAGCAGTAAGATTGAACTTGCGAACAATGCAATATGCGCGCGCAGCCCTGCAGGGAAGCACTAGGTGACGGCGCCGGATGGTTTGGAGGTTGATAATTTTTTTTTTCCCTTTTGCTAGATGCACGGGATATGCTGCTTGGGCGTTGGGTAAGGTCGGCGCTCGGAATAGACTCAGAGCCCAAGTGCGGCAGCGAGCCAGTGGGGTTGTGACTTGGCGCCTTGGAGGAAGACAGATTGACTTGCTGGCAGCTCGGGTTGCAAGGCTCGTTCACCTCGTCTCTGTGGCCGGGCACCGAACTCGCTCAACTCTGGGATGCTGGCAGTGGTTAGTGCTTGAAGGCTTGGAGATCAATTGCTCTTGTCGGCCGGTCCGCAACGAGGGTAGTCGAGCTAGCGCATGAATGCCCCCCAGCTTTTGCCAATTCTTCCGCCAATGGTGTATCGAGTTCCTGAGGGGCCAGGTGCTTTTCAATCGCGATAAACAAGCTGCGCAAGGCCTTCCCCAGTTTCCCGACTTGGAGCATTCCGCAGTGGGAGTGCGTCAAGGTGAAATGTGGCCGTACAACAGTCGAATGCTGGAGCTCAGACAGGTGCAGACCTTGAAATGGGCGCGTGGGGAGCATCGGTCCTGCCCAGACGCCTTCCTCGATTGCCCTTTGTGAGAGGACTAGGGAAGGAGCGAGGGACTTGGTAGCGACCAGGCTCCAGATCTCCGTGTCGTCTTCTCTCGCATTAATGTCTATTGTACGCCATTGCACAATCTCCCGTCACGCCACGGCCGTCGAAACCGCATCATGTTGGCATCGCTGGACAGACAGGCCTTACCATGCCTGGCAGGTCCGTTGTGGCAGCGGCCGGAAATACTGCCAGGTCAGGGCCTTTTGCCCCGTGCCCGTGCAGGCTAGCCAGATTGTCGCTGAAAGCAACACAGCCTCATCAGCAAGCTGCTGTCGTGCAGCTCTTACACCCATTAGCCGATACACCCAACTGTCTAGATGTTGGCTGAACCGGGCCCAGATGACCCGACTGGCGAAAGGCCTACTACTGGGCCGGATCCTCAGCACTTATTGAATGAGTTTGTCTTTATTGGACAATCCTCCGCAACAGCTAAATTGCACCGTCTAGTCAAAACTCAAACAACGCCCCCGGCACGGAGCTTAAGTTGACCAAGTCATCCACGGATAAGCAGGAGCTGATTGACATCAATTGCCGATGTACGTACGGAGTACGCCGGTCTCAAACTGAGCAATCGGCGCGCCGCTACCATGTGTGACTGGACCACGCTGGAAAATCCAGGCCACGATAGATTCCATCAACCATTGCATGCACAGAGGATATATTGTCAAAGTCTGTCAATGCGGTCGAGATGCTACACATGAGTGGCCGTTAGTTGTTGTTCAAGTAATGTTTCACCTGGGCTCAATTTAGTTTGCAAAGTCGTTGAAGTTGATCCGGCTTCACATCAAGTTGCGAAGCCAGGAGTAAGCTGACGGTCGTTGACAGACATGCCGCAGACATGGCAACAACCTCCATTTAGAAGAGCGTGCTAAACACTCTTAAGATCGCCCTCTGGCTTCACAGGAAATGGAGCTTGTCGTATTTGGTACAAACAAAACCTTGCCATAAATGTATTCGTATCGACCCAGATCTGCAGGTATTCAACATCACACAAAAGAAATGACTCAGTTCAGGCCGCGATTCTCGTCGTCTGGCAACACTGCCCACCAAATCCCCATTTTCGATCATCGTATAATTCATACACTCCAGGTTCATTCCTGCGACCAGATACCAATAATGTTTCCCTCCGAGTCATTAAACCGAGCATAATGGCCCATATCACCGCCGATTGCCGTCTTGGGGCTGTTCGCCTTATTAGCACGACAGATGGCTGGCAAAGAAGGGGATATCGACAACGTGGAAATACATGACGCAACTTACCACTGTGTGCTACCACCTAGGCCCTCTACTTGCTTCAAGGTTTCGTCACAGTCCTTGACACAAAACGTGGGCAGGGGAGGGAGAACCTCCTTCTCAAGGCTTCCATATCGGGTCATCTGATAGCCTTCCTGCATGACGAGAAACCCGCCACTCAGCTTCTTCCCGGGGGACTCAAACATATGCATGGCTTCGATGCCATGGTGGCCCATAGCCATTGCATCTTCATTGATCTTCCAGCCGAAAACCTCAGAATATAGTTTCGAGGCTCGTTTAATATCATACACAGCGATTTCGAGCCAACAAATCTGGCCGAAAGCAGGCTAAAAGACAGTAGGTGAGAAACCAGAATAGGTAGGATGAACGGCGTAGTGTCGCTAGTGGCGTAAGCTTACCTGGTTCTCAGTGTCGTTGCTCATTGTGAGGTATGGTGCGTGGTTGTGCTATTGGGCCAGTATGAACCTTGTGCTTGGAAGACGCACTTATTAGACGATAGCAACATATGGGCAGCCGCTTATATTTATATGTAACGCGACAGTCGCATCCTCTTGAAATAATCAGCCCATTCTGGACGCCTCCAACATGTTTTTTGGCCCGTCGCTCAGCACTGTGCATTGCACCGCCAGCACACATATTATGCACTGCACGGATAGAGATAACTGCGGCGCCTGAGGTGGCGCGGCGGCGTCCAAAGCTCTGTCGATTCACGCAATAGCAATTAGATCGCGGGGGTCTCGACTGGTCTTCAGCTGGTTTCGACGACGGGATGCACCAAGCCACGTCCAGGTCGTGATAGGTTGCACCTTGAACAAGCGTAAGACTTCACACGATGCCCATGTAACAAGTGATGCACCGACCTGAGGCCTGCTTTCTGTGGTTACTAGTGAATCGGGCTGATTCCAATGCCATTTTGAAGAAGAAGAAAAAGAGAAGGGAAACACGTTTGACGTTTGGAGTGATGTGATTAGAGTGTCGTTACAGTTCGCTTCAACGGATAGCAACGCCGTGCATTGGTTTCCGAAGTACGGTACGTTTGTCTGACTCTGAAAAAAAGCTCAATTACGGTCTGGCAGACAATATTTGCCCTAAGAATTATACACTAATTCCAGGTACTTGGCCTGGTTAAGTAATCTTTGCCCTCCACCGTAATTAATGCACCAAGTTCTCTTGGATTGAAATTTCCACAGAGACAAATGATCGCGCTTTGGGTTACTTGCGTGGTTGTCAAGGCGTGGAGACCGATACCTAGGAATTGAGAAAGCCGACACAGAAACAACCAGGTGAGACACGGTGATAATTCAGGAGCTCAAAGATTACAAGACTAAATGAGAACAGTGGTTCAATCCAATGACAAGAGGGAATGTTGGGAAGTGTTGGCAACCTAGCCGCGTCTAGGGTAGCAGCACGTCGAGGGAGCCGAGCTTGCTAGGCTGCCTGTTGCTTTGCTTGTCATGGCGTTCCCGCTGTGGGCCACCGCCCGTTTACTCCAGATCGACGAATCAAACAAACAAATTTGGACTGCCGCATCGTCTTTGGCTCAATTAACACGATCAGAAGACCCTTCGACCTTCGTCCCACCACAGCTTGTGTCGCATCAAAAGCTCTCCCTCATTCAAAACCCATCACTCTCCGGACTTCTATCAAACGCCGCACCCTGCCAACAGAGCTTGGCGCCGCGAGGAATTGGCACAATTTGAGTCTGCTGCATTGCCCAATTCTGCCGATCGCGTGACCTCACTCGACACGACATGGCAGAACCTGCTCCCGAGACGCGACCTGCCGATGAAGGCACCTCTACTCCCACCGTCACCGAAGGCACCCCAGCTGCCACGGAAGATGTTGCGACGCCCATCTCTCGCGACGAGGACCCCAAGTCCAGAAGAGTGTCTCTTGCCGATTTGAGCGCCAAGGGCACCGCGCTGTACGCCCACAAGCAGTACGAAGATGCCGCCGAGATCTTCTCTCGCGCCAGTGTGCTGCAGGTCGATCTCAACGGGGAGACGGCTCCCGAGAATGCTGAGATCCTATTCCACTACGGCCGTAGCTTGTTCAAAGTTGGGCAGAGCAAGAGCGATGTTCTCGGTGGTCCAGCTGCAGCGGACCAGAAGAATGCTGCTGCTGCCACCGCCGCCGACAGCAGCTCGAAACCAGCAGCACCCGCTTTGACCGAGGCCCAAAAGGTGACGCAAGAAGGCGTCGCCATTGCTGCCGGACAGGCTGGCGACGCCCACGAGAAGAAAGAGGACAAGACGAAGGAGGGTGGACCTGATGAGAAGAAGCCGCTGTTCCAATTTACCGGCGATGAGAACTTTGACGACTCATCCGACGAAGAGGTAGGTTGGATCGCAGCGCCAGCTCCGCAGACTGTCTCGTTGGAGAACACTCTAACAAATGACAGCAACAAGAGGAAGCACCCGAGGAAGAGGACGATGACCTGGCAACGGCGTTTGAAATTCTCGACCTCGCTCGTGTCTGCTACGAAAAGCAGTTGGAGCAATTGAGCAAGGATGACGAAGCCGGCAAAGGCAAGGAAACCGCTGAGGATCCCCCATCTGTTCGACACATCAAGGAGCGCCTGGCCGATACTCACGACTGCCTGGCTGAAATTTCTCTCGAAAACGAGCGGTGCGTTGTCAGCAGTCTTCCTTATCCTCCTTTTAACATCTGTGTGGCTATCCGCTGATTTGTTGTAGATATCCCAACGCCATTGAAGACGGCCGCACCTCACTCAACTACAAATTAGAACTCTACCCCGAAGATTCAGAAATCATCGCCGAGGCACACTACAAGCTCTCGCTCGCACTGGAGTTTGCGTCGGTGACCATGTCCGATGACGAAGGCAAAAACACCAAGCGCGAAGCCATGGACCAGTCCCTCCGCGACGAAGCTATCAAGGAGATGAGCCTCGCCATCAAGAGCTTCAAGCTCAAGATGCAGAACAAGGAGGTCGAGGTGGCCACTATGGCGTCGCCCGAGGACAACGACCTTGCGCGAAAGGCCATTTTTGAAATGAAGGAGGTCATTGCTGACATGGAACAACGGGTATGTCAAAGTTCTTGTCGTCCACCCCTCCCAAAAACAAAAACGTGCTTTTTTAGCATCACTAACAACACCCTTTGTAGCTGGTTGATTTGAAAAAGGACCCCATCGACGCGTCCGACCTCCTCGGCGGGCCGCAAGCCAACGCCCTGGGAGGACTTTTCGGCGCCGCGCTGGGCGAATCGGCTGCCGAGACGCAAGCTCGTGTAGAGGAGGCGAAGAAGACGGCTACCGACTTGACAGGCCTGGTGCGTAAGAAGAAGGCCAAGGAGGAAGAGAAGCCCGAGCCGGCTGCGCCAGCTACCAACGGTAAGCGGAAAGCAGGGGACGAGGTGCCCGATGCAGCGGAGTCTCCTAAGAGGGCCAAGATGGAGGATGAGCCCGAAGAGGTTAAGGAGTAGGGGATCTTGTTTGTTTTTTCTCCTATGGTGTTGCGGCGTCGACCTGGGCTGGTCGGTGGTTTTCGTGTGATTGGATTTGTATAGTATGCACAATGACCAACATTATCAGAATCATCCATCTGGATTTCCTCGGATCTTCTCATTTCGTGGATGTGTCAGGTTCCTATTTATATTTTACTACAACAACGTAGTCTAGTTGGCCGTGGGGGAAAAAAGAAACTACCAAGCAGTGAAAATGATTGATTGCTTGTCCCGACAATCAGAATACAACTAGAACACACCATCTCTGCATGATACTGAACAGGAATTCCACGCAAAATGTAACAGGTCTACCCAAAACGCCACTAATGCCATGCACTCCCTGCCGGATTTTCCCACGTCGCCATTTACAACTTGAAGCCGCCGCTGGTAACGGCCTTCTTGGGCTTGGCCTTGTTCCCATCGACGTCGGTAATCTCGCCCCTGCGATTGATGACCTTGACGCCGCCCTTCTTGAGCTCGGCCACTGTGTCGCGCTGCATCTTGGCCCTCGTGCCCAGCTTCTTGTCGCTCTGGGCGTCCGCGCCGCCGGCCTTGCGGACGCGTTCCTTGTGGCGCCTGCGGCGGCGGGCTCTGTCCTCGCGCGACATTTCCTGCCGGGCGACGGGCAGGCCGGCCTTGGTGACGACCTCGCCCTTTGCGACCGAGGCCTTGTCCGCGCCGGCCTTGTAGATCTCCTGCGGGGCCATGCGCGACGACTCGCCGGCGACGCCCTGCGCCGTCGTGGGCTGGGCGTCCTCCATGGCGACCGTGGCCACGTCCGAGACGACGCTGAGCTGGGGCGCTGCTGGCTTCGGCTTGTAGTGCCAGCTGGAGAGGGCGTCGAGGCGCGCAGAGACGTCCTTCCACATGGCCTCGATCTCCTTCTCCTCCTTTTGGAGCTTCTCGTCCGACTTGCTGACGTAGGTGTCCGGGTTGGTGTTCTTGATGTGCTCCTCCTCATAGACCTCGGCGAGGCTCTTGTTGGGCTTGCTGTCGTCGAGCTCGACGAGGCCGCGGCGCGTGTGAGCGGGGAGGCCGTCTGTGTCCGGGCGGCGGCGGAGCACCTCGTCAAATTCTTGGGACAGGATGCGCCGCTTGATGAGGTCTTCGATGGACTCGCTGATTTCTGGGGTGATGACGGGGACGGGCTTGCCGACGTGCTCAAAGTCCACGTCTTCTTCGAGAAGGGAGTTCATGGGGCGGTCCGCGGCCGCGGCCTCACCCGACAGCGTCCATTCGCGCTTGGCTATGGATGCGGCTTCAAGTTTGCGGATTTCTTCGGCGAGCTTTGCCTGCCGCCGTTCGTGGGTTGAGCGTCTTGATTTGGGGTCACCAGCTGACACGTCGGAGAGGGCATCGTCCGAGTCTTCATTTTCTGACTCATCATCAAAGAGATCGCGTTTGACGTTGGCCATGGCCCTTTCCATGTCTTCTTCGTTGGGTTGCTGAGGCGGGAGATGGGCCTCCTTCTTTTTCAGAGGTTTGCCGGTCTTGTTCTTTCTTGAGGGGGGTGCGAAGAAATCTTTGTAGTAGACCCCGTTGGCGTTGAAATCGTTAACCTCATCGTCTTCGTCTTCGTCTGCCATGACTTCGTCATCACTGGCGCCCTCTGGCGCATCAAGTGCCATGTCTCCGAACGTGGGGCCATCATCATCATCAGATTCCTCATCGTCGATGGGCTCGTTGCTGTGCTTCTTTGATGACTTGGCATCAGAATTTGACGAGGCCAGGGGATCCGCGGTCCAATCTATGTCTTCATCGTCGCTGGCGTGGTCTGTGTTTGGGTCTCCTCTGGCATCTTGGTCCTCAAACCACTGAGTCTGCTTGTTGAAGTCGTCGATAGAGAAGAAGCCGTCATTGAGGCCATTGGGGTCTTCGACATATTCCTCAGCCTCGTCCTCGTCGTCTTCTTCATCTTCTGACCTGCCCTCTTCCTCTTTGTCATCTCCGTCGCTCTC